CCAAAAGCCAAAAGTAAAGAAGAGGAAGAGGGAAGAGTAAATGAGAAGAGTTATTTCAATTTTTAATAATACATTGAATGAGCAATTATGATTGAAAATATATAGTATCGAATATTGTAGAATTACAGTAAATGTATAGCTGACGAATTAAAAAACGTAAAATACATGTGCAAATTTAAAAATTAAAATGGAATTTTCTTTTTTTCTCTTCGACTCCTCTTCCAGTCTTTGTACCAACTCTTCCCTTCTTTTCTTGCACCTATCCTCTTCTTCTTGTTTTTCCTCTTCTGTCCTASATTTTCAAAAGGCTTGTGTACAACATTACGTTTTTATGAAGTATTTGGACAAAAACTCTGATTCAATATACTATGTACTGCAGTATTTTCTTAGTTTGGTTCCTTTATCGCCTAAACACACAATGAATTTAAAAAGATAAACAGAATTTTGTTTACTAACAGCTCTTTATCAACAAAAACTACGCCCTGAGGCTTCACCCATCTCCTTCTTCTTGGGATTTTGAATGGCATGTCGGTAAATCTATAAACAAAGAAAAACTCAGGTAAGAAGTATCTACAGTTGTGTAATAGCAATTGCTAAAATTTTAATGGAAAATGACAAAAAAGGAAGAAAAAACATTGTTTTGCTTACCTTTTAGATGATGTTTTTCTCTCTACAGGTCACCACAAGAACGACAGGAAGTACAAGTACATTAAGCGGGAAAAAATGGACGCGCGTGCACAAAAAATGAGYGGGAAAATAGACCGGAAGTCAAAATTAAGATCAAGAATTCCACAAGAAATATATGGCCCATGTGACATTACAAAAAATAGTTCATAAAGTAGAATTGCAATCAAACAAACGAAAAATAACTGTTTTTTAAATCTAATAACTTACCTGAATTTGAAAATGCTCCATAGTCGAGAGATAGTCCTTCAAAGTGCCACAAGTTTCTCATCGTTTGGTCGTCCCATCATCTTTACTGAGAAAAATCAAATCTCCAAAAAAAGGTTTTTCTGCCATCCTCGTACACCAAAAAGCCGCTAAGAACGAATTTGCTATTCTAATAAATATTTTAGAAATGATCAAATCATCGCTAAAGTCCTACATAACCTCAAAAATCTAGATTATCTTAGCCGTCACAACACATGTTTGCGATTCTCGTCGACCGCCATTTGCTTTGCCTCGTTTCTATCCGTAGTGACCGCGCAAATTTCTCAAATATAGTCCTGGAACCTAATGTCGCGAAATTGTGCGAGTGAAACAGCCGTGACGATACTGTACGATTGAGTATTTGTAGTAGCTGCTGTTTTTTTGTTATGGCCAAGCCAGGAGAAACGTGGGGTTTTAAAGAAACCAGCATTTTAATTGATTCATGGGCGGATGAAAAAATTCAAGCCCAATTAAATGATTCCCCGAAGAGAAACATCAAAATTTTCGCGGATATTGTCTCGAAAATAAAAGATACAATGCCAGAATTCAGCCGATCAGCTGACGACATTAGGGCTAAATTAAAA